AGTTGTAGAGAGTAGAGGTGTCCCTCTGTCTGTTGCTGTGATTGTCAAATTATAATGCTCCACAACCTCTCTGTCCAGATTGCCATCTGTCATCAAAGTGTAATAATTGTCTACAGACTTTTGCAGTTGAAATGGAAAGTTTGGAGGAATGAAACATGTGACCTTCCCATTTTCTCCAGAGTCTTTGTCCTTGACACGCAATAGAGCAATTATAGTCCCACTCTGTGAATTTTCTGGCACTGAGGTGAAGAATGACGAAACTGTGATTTCTGGAGCATTGTCGTTTGCATCCAAAACTGTTATAAACACCTTAGCAAGAGATGACAAACCTTCTGGGTCCTGAGCTTGGACATCTATTTCAAAAAATTCCTGCTCTTCAAAATCCAAATTCCCTTGAACTGATATTTCTCCTGTTTGTGAATTTAATCGGAATATTTGGGAAATCTTCTCTGATTTTGTTCTAAATGTGTATGTTATTTCTGAATTAACTCCTTCATCAAGGTCTGTAGCTTTCACTGTAGTCAGAACAAAACCTAGTGGAACATTTTCCAATACATTAACTTTATAAATGGGTTGGGTGAAAACAGGGGCATTGTCATTTGCATCCAGAACAATAACGTGGATTTGCATGCTCCCAGACCTGACAGGGTCTCCCCCATCAATGGCTGTTAAGACCAGATTATGAAAAGCCTTTTCTTCCCTGTCCAAGGAATTTTCAAGTACCACACCAGCATTTTTAATTCCACTTTCTCCAGCTTGTACATACAAGGAGAAATATTTATTATAAGTTAATTCATATCTCTGAACAGAATTGATCCCCACATCTGGGTCCAGTGCGTCTGCGAGGAGAAACCTTGATCCTTGAGCTGTGGTTTCTCTGATGCTAAAGGTCAGTTGTTCCATTTGGAATCTCGGGGTATTATCATTAATATCTATTATTTCAACTTCGATGGTATAAACTTTCATTTTGTCTTGAACCAGAATCTCAAAATTCAGCAAGCATTTCAAAATCTGACCGCAGACCGTTTCTCTGTCAATTTTTTGGCTAGTGTATAAATGTCCATTTTCCATGTTGAGAGCAAAATACTGAGTCTTACCTGTGGAAATGACATGGACTCCATTGTTAGATAACTTATCCATATCCAGCTCCAGATCTTTTGCAACATTTCCCACAAAAGAACCTCTTTCAGTCTCCTCAAGCATCATATAGCGAATTTGTCCAGAAGCAGCTTCCCAGACCACCAGCTTCATAAGCCAAATAAAAGTGGTAGTTCTGTAGTACTGAGATCTGTGATTTTCTGCCATTTCTGAATGTCTGATATGCTCCTCTATTAACAGATTGCCTTTTCCCCTTAGACAATTCGGTTTTCTGAAGCAGCAGCAGATATATTTTCACAGGGACCCAAACATTCATTTAAAAACCAGCATGCTATCTACCTTTCTAAAAACGACTGCCCATCCTGATGTACATCTTGGAAGCTCAAATGAAATGTCTTTGTGTTCTCCTCTCCCGCTGCAGAGGTGGGCAGGCTAAATTTCTAACAGGTTTTCTTTAAAAATGGATGAACAGCGCCGCCCAGAGCCGCATCCAGTAATTTCAGCTACACAGATAAAACACTATCCTAATTTGCTAGGAAATAAATGTCTTTAATGAATACATATAGCCATGCCCTAAATTTAAAGTTACAAATATATGATATATAGTCAGTCTATATAGCTTTATCAGTTTTCTGCACGTTATTCCGATTTTCTCAAGTTTCGATCTTTTCAAGATGAAACAGAGATGATACATTATTCTCTGTGTGTATTTGTGTAC